ACTTGTTAGCTCAATTGGTAGAGCGCTGCACTAGTATCGCAGAGGTCAGTGGTTCGAATCCCGTACAGGCCTGAAATTTTTTTCAGGTCTGATTTTCACTATTGCTCAAATAGTGCTTTACTGCGAAGGATCGTGCACATATACGTTTCATAACCGCAGTTCATACATATGTTTCATATGTTTGTTGTTGTTTGATTTATCATCTACGGGTTTATGTCGAATTAATTTGATGGCCTGCTCCCAGTTGGCTTGTTAGCTCAATTGGTAGAGCGCTGCACTAGTATCGCAGAGGTCAGTGGTTCGAATCCCGTACAGGCCTGAAATTTTTTTCAGGTCTGATTTTCACTATTGCTCAAATAGTGCTTTACTGCGAAGGATCGTGCACATATACGTTTCATAACCGCAGTTCATACATATGTTTCATATGTTTGTTGTTGTTTGATTTATCATCTACGGGTTTATGTCGAATTAATTTGATGGCCTGCTCCCAGTTGGCTTGTTAGCTCAATTGGTAGAGCGCTGCACTAGTATCGCAGAGGTCAGTGGTTCGAATCCCGTACAGGCCTGAAATTTTTTTCAGGTCTGATTTTCACTATTGCTCAAATAGTGCTTTACTGCGAAGGATCGTGCACATATACGTTTCATAACCGCAGTTCATACATATGTTTCATATGTTTGTTGTTGTTTGATTTATCATCTACGGGTTTATGTCGAATTAATTTGATGGCCTGCTCCCAGTTGGCTTGTTAGCTCAATTGGTAGAGCGCTGCACTAGTATCGCAGAGGTCAGTGGTTCGAATCCCGTACAGGCCTGAATTTTTTTCAGGTCTGATTTTCACTATTGCTTAAATAGTGCTTTACTGCGAAGGATCGTGCACATATACGTTTCATAACCGCAGTTCATATATATGTATTTCATATGTTTGTTGAGTGATTAATATGTAGCTTCTCACTATTATTTCCACAAATTATCCAACAAACCGGGAATGAGATTATTCAAACTGATCAGGTAGAAGTAATTTTTTTGATCTAACATTACATTCTTGTAACTATTTTACAAGGAAATGTGTAGTAGTTAGAGGGGAGAATTAACAAACCGATCTCGAAATATTTTTCAGAGAAATAGTAGGTTTCATTTTTATATCAATTCTAACTGTGTAAACATATGAGATTTAGATTGCGGTGCTTCAAAAAGGAGAAAATTAATAAGCAGGTGAATCAACAAAACATGGATAGATTACATGATAGATTCCAAAAGGTGACAAAAGCTGGGCAGTTGGGGCTTTAAAAGGAAGACACCTAGAGTTATACAATATACACATAGCCCTATAAACAATATTATGAAAATGGTGAAAATTTCGTCAATTTTCATAGCATATTGAGTGCATTGCAATAACATGATTTTTCCCATTTATCTATGACAACTTTGTGGTATTGGATTAAAAGGTTTCAATTTCAGACTGAATGTATAATTAAAGAAACACAAATGCTGAATTGTACATGCTGATATCATTCAATGTATCAATCCATGCACAAGAGGAGAGACTCCAAAATTTTCATGCTGCTGTAAAGTTCAAGTTACAAAATTTAAACCAATGCAAAAAAATATATAGATAATTATATCATTCTGCATTGTATATCTATTCTAATTCCTTGACAGTTTAATGCAAAAAAATCTCAATGCAGAGAGAAATTATAACATATTGTTCAATTTTGTCAAAGGTTCAAATGTTTGATTTCCTATATGCTGATACAAAAACCAAATAAAAATGAAATTCAAGCCTATGATTTATTTGCACGGAAACATTAATAATTGCATTCCAAAAAATAATTAAGCAGAGTGCGCAGTGTAAGTAACTGGTCCCTTTGATAATTCAAGGCCTGTATTTTTCCTGTCAATCAGAGAGAATCTGTCCAATTGCATAGACACAATCATTTCCATGTTGTAGTAATCTAGACAGTTTTCTCAAATGGTTGTTCTTTAACAGCTGTTTTAAGTCACACTTAAAGATTTCTTCAATTCTCTCCATGATAAATTGCAATCGGCTCATGTGTTTCTTTACACATTTAGATGTAGATTTTGACAAAATGGCCATTTTTGCTGCACCTTCAAGAGTCAAATGGGAATAAAACTTGAATTCAGCCGCACTCCTCAGTACATTTTTGTAGCCACCCTGCAGAATCTTTTCCACCACTCCATCAAATGAGAAGACAGGTGAGCTATTAAGACTTTCATGGGATTTTACAATCTTCTCAAAATTCCGCAGCCGCTGTCTTTGATGGAACATAACCTTGCTCGATTGTCCCATTTTGTTGCTAAGATATATAGAAAAGTATTCTTCAAAATGAGTGCTGCTTGAGCTGACAAGATCTAAATCCACTTCCTTTGACTGCACTTTTTGTTTACATTCTTCCTGATGTTTGCTCATGGGAGTAAGACATTCCCAGCAGAAAGCTGTCTGGCACATGATACAGAACATAAAACTACAGCCAAGGTGCTTTTCAATAGGATAGCGACAGTTGGGACAATTTCGCACCATGACTGAAGTTATGCAATCCTCTCCCTTCTGCTTGATTTCTGCATGAATTTGCTTGGTAATTTCCTGGAATTTCTCTTCACCTGAACATGAAGCTGGCCAGTGAGCCTTTTTACCACACTGGAAACACCAAAGCCCTCCACAAGAACATGCTACAGACACTGGGTTGCTTCTACTGGCCATGGCACCAGATGCAGACACCTTTAACACTTTAGCACACTTGCTGGAGGGACACCACCTCAATTCTGAACTGGACTCTATGACTTTGTCAATTTTCTGTGACTGGAACTTGTCATACCAGTTAGGCACCAGAGTCAAAATAGTGGCCTTGTCAACACAGACGTTACACTTATGTCCAGGACATTGTAGGTCTGTGTTCCCCAAGCTAATTTGTGTCTTCAGGTGGACTTCCCAGCATTCATCGCAGAAGGTATGTAGGCAGTGTTTCAGAGCAGTAAATGGAGTCAAAAGTTGATTCTCTGCAGGGAAAGAAGTATAACTTTGATTTACATACAAAAAACATATGATCATGAGGATTACTGTAATTTTTGCACTGTATTGAAAATTTGAAAATAGAGTGAATTTCTCATAAGAAGTGATAAATTATGAAACTATATAGAAGTAACCACATCTCTCTAACAAATACCACAAATGGGATAGCAAAACATGGTGCTTAAAAAAATTCAGCTTTATCATTCTACAGCCAATGACTTGATCCCAATTTTTAAACGCTACAGCCTTAAACTGATGCAATAATTTTTTTAAACAGATGCAAATTTTTTTAAAACCAGTTAGCAAACAGCTTAAAAACATTTCGCTTCAGTGTTAAACAAGTGCAATCTTTTTGAATGGATAAGTAAACTGTTTTCCCATAGAGGGTTACATATGTTATGTAAAGTCAATTTTCCCCTTTACTTAACCTTAATATTTGATTCTCCCCTCTGGCTGCTACACATTCCCATGAAAATTATTTTCAAGAACTTGATGTTAGATCAAGATAAAGTTTGAGTATTCTCATTACCTGTTTACTGAGTAATTTTTTTTAGATCATGGAGAGAAGTTACATGTTAATCACTTCTAGGAGTGAAAAGGTTGATACTTTTCACATCAGTTTTCACCTTTATTAATGAACTCTTTTTTATATTTTGAATACGATTATATGTGTTAAGTATATGACATAAAAAAATCCAATGGTTTGAAATACTCACCAAATTCCTTGTAGCATATACCACAAAACTTTTCAAGTGGTTCTGCAATTCCTTCATCATCCGTATCAGTTCTTATAACAACATCCATGCTGAGCAAATCAATTTTCTTGATTTTTGCTCTCAGTTCAGATTTTATTTCCACCCGAGTTAAGACCTCTGATTTCCATCCAAACATAGAACCAAGCACATCAATAGAATTCCATATTTTTGTGTGGCTGTGGGAGTCTTGCATAGGGGGTAGGAAAGACTGGTAGCAACATTGCAAGTAATGAGTTGCACAGCTAACTGCATCGCACACTCTCCAAAAGTCTTTCTTCTCATTTTCCAATTCCACAAAGAAGTTTTTCATAGCATTGCAAAGATCACCAGAAAGGTCCTGAGTCTTTGTGGCATGCAAACTAACTGCAACTGTTCTGCAGTTCATTTCACGATTCAGCTGGTCGGTCATTTCAAACAGTATGCAGCAAAATTCATTTGTAAAGCTTCCACCGGGAGAAAGAAGGGGAATTAGGTCAATTGTGAACTTCCTTGGCAAGCTGTTTCCTTCCAAGTACATGCCATTCCAATCTTCGGTAAGCTTTTCAGGCTTCAAGTCATCAAGCAATAACTGTAAAGGAGCTGTTAGCTTCTTCTCTGATGGAGGAATCATTGAAGGTGCAGAAGCAGATGGGGCAGTGGTAGGATTCTGAGAGGTGTTCATGCTTGGTTCAGGGTCAATGAAGACGAAACTTTTCTTTCCATACTTAAAACACTGACTCAATGATCCATCTTTATGTCTCAAATTTGGTTTCTGTCGTGTTTTCTTCGGTGGGTGTCTGGAAAGCTCATCAATGTAAGAGCCAATATCAAACCCTGTACTATAGGGAGAGGATGTCTCTCTTGGGGTCTTAAAGCTACTAAACCACTTTGCACCCATCACACTAATTTTACTCTCAGCGATTTTGGGTGTTGAGTATGCCTGACAACGTTTACCTTTGAGAACTTCTTTATTCCTGAGCTCTCTGTCGGAATAGAGACCCCAGCGGTAGCCCTTGTTTTTCACGCCCTTGTTCTTAAATCGAGACTTGCACGGATCTTTGAGAGAATACTGAAAAGACCAACGATAACTTGTGGCGTATCTTTCGCTGCATTCGGGGTATTCGTTCTTTGGATATCGATACGACAGCTCGTAACCAATTTCGGGCTCCAATTCGGTTGAGTCACTCTTCTTCAGTAAATCTTGCACGCGAGTGTATTTGCGTTTTCGAGGAGTATACACTATGTTCTCTCGGACTTTGTGGACAGCAATGCAATCTGCGTCGACCTCTTGTCGCATCCGGCGACGCACAATAGTAACACTGGGTCTAGACGAAGCATCGCTTGTGTCTTGACCACTGATTTCCTTGAACACTTCTGACAAGGTCCATCGCTTGCGCTTTTTCAAGGAGTACATAACGCTAGACATATGCACTCCACTTCCAGCTCGCAGATGCCGGTTGGACGAGAGTGTGAAATCACCAAGGCCATCCCCTATATCGTTCTCTTCGAGGAACTGTTCCATATCGTATTTGGACATGTTCTCCGTTCCTCTTGTAAACTTGAGTAAAACTTCCGGTTCGCGGCCAAGAAAATGAGAGAAAGGATTTCGGACAGTTCGCCCGGTTTTGACTCCATATTTCCCTTTCCCGTTCCAAACCATGATTTTTTTCTTGTTCACACTATGGATCGCGGAGAGGTCCTGATCGATCGCATAGTATTGTACATCTCCAAAACTACTTTTATAACCAACCTTGACCTCCATATTGGATTTCTTGTTGTGGTGCAATAAGCGTTTTAATTGGATGCCAAGGTTTGGATATTTTTAGCAGCAATTAAGCCAATCACAATAATTCTTCTAAAACTGCGCTAATTCGAAGCGTTACACATTAAGAGATGACGTTTATAAACAATTTTGCCCCCGCGAGAAGAAGAAACGGGGTGCTAATTTACGGCTAATCGTCAACATCTTTCCATTGTTGTCGCCACAAATAATAATTACTTCGGTTAAAATGTGTCAACTTTTTCACCTAACAGTTCAATGTTTTGACAGGTTTTCAGAAAAGAAACGCCTTTTCTCATCTTCTTGTTTTTACTTTAACGCAGCCGCCAAATCGCCAAATATTTTAGCGACAATCGCCAAATATTTTAGCCAGCCATTTGCTTTGTAAAATTAGTTGAAATGCATATCAACTGCCTCGTTGTGGGTAACAAATCACTTTATTTATTTATTTATTTATTTATTTATTTAACTTTATTTATACACAGGTAAAACATCAAGACTTTAAGTAAATTACTAATTAATTCTTATAACAATAAAATAAAAACAATAACAAAGTGTCTGCTTCCATGAATACCGCGTGATTAATTAACTTATTTATTATCAAAAAGGAAACCCCTGCAGCCGGATTTAAAACTTGCAAGAGTTTGTGCTTGCCGCAGATTGGAAAGTAAGTTTTTCACGCCACCGCACCACTATAGCTGAAACTTTTTTTTTTAGAAAATTAGTGCGGGGGAGTGGAACTGCTAGTTTGCCCACACATTTCGTAAGAGAATAGGTAGATATTGCACTCCGATCAGTAAAAAATTTGATTTCAGATAATCTGGGGCGAGACCATTAAGAGATTTATAGACCATTGTGGCTGTTTTTAATTTTCGTTGAAGTTTAATCATAAGTTTTTGCCAGCCTAATCAAACACTCAGACTACCCAGATCATCCGCATTGGCATCATATGAAGAAGATGTCAAAATACGCGCAGCACGATTCCGTAGTTTTTATGAAGGGAAAGAGATTTATTGCAATTCCCCCTTACGACACAACAGTAATCGAAATGGGGGTTGAACTAAAGCATTATAGATACGATGAATATATGAAGTTCATATATTTTGAACTGACTGCGGTTATAGATACGTATGATGCACGATCCTCGCAGTAGAGAGCGCTATTTATGCTATAGCGAAAATCAGACCTGAAAAAAATCAAGCCTGTACGGGATTCGAACCACTGACCTCTGTGATTCTGATTTTCGCTATTGCATAAATAGCGCTCTCTACTGCGAGGATAGTGCATCATACGTATCTATAACCGCAGTTCAAAATATATGAACTTCATATATACATCGTATCTGATTTATCATCAGGGGTTTATTACGAATCAACTTAACGGCCTGCTCCCAGTTGGCTTGTTAGCTCAATTGGTAGAGCGCTGCACTAGTATCGCAGAGGTCAGTGGTTCGAATCCCGTACAGGCCTGATTTTTTTCAGGTCTGATTTCCGCTATTGCATAGATAGCGCTCTCTATTGCGAAGGATCGTGCATCATACGTATCTATAACCGCAGTTCAAAATATATGAACTTCATATATACATCGTATCTGATTTATCATCAGGGGTTTATTACGAATCAACTTAACGGCCTGCTCCCAGTTGGCTTGTTAGCTCAATTGGTAGAGCGCTGCACTAGTATCGCAGAGGTCAGTGGTTCGAATCCCGTACAGGTCTGATTTTCGCTATTGCTTAAATAGCGCTATCTACTGCGAGGTTCGTGCATTATACGTATCTACAACCGCAGTTCAAAATATATGAACTTCATATATTCATTGTATCTTATTAAAGTCTATTGAACGAAGCACTTTTGCACATTTTGGATAGTCTACATAATGAAACTGGCTGACCACTTATCGCAACATTACATTCCATTTTTACTTTATCTCATTTATAGAAAACCTGCCGCTGCATGCAGCTGCTAGACTTTGTTCTTCCCAACCGGGGTTGTAGAATCTATTTTTAGCTACCTCGCATAAAAAAAAAAGATGTAACTGTTGCTATAACGGCTGAAAGTCCTTTACACGACTTCATGTTTTATTTATATGCATTCCTGTTTCAACAAGTCAACAAGCTCAAGGAGCAGCGAATTCGTTGCTATTGTTGCTGTTTTTGTTTTGGAAATCATGTTTTTCCATCTTTTTGTTTCCTAGATAACTGTAAAAGACTTTACATAGTCCTGCGTAAGTCACCTTAAACTAGACTGATAAAATTCACCAAAACTATTTTAGCATTTCGATAATACAATAAAATAAGATACAATGAAAATAAGATTCCTGATCGTCTGAGGTGGAAAGGCAGGGTTACTGGCATGTAAATGACCCTTCCAGTCGTTCGACCCAATCCTCGAGATTCAGTTTAAATTTTTCGTTTTTCCTTGCATGAGTTTAAGACTCGCTAGTTAGACGCTCTTCGTTAATTATACAAAAACAACCAACACCCTCCTCTCAGTAATCTTCCAAACTAAGCCTATCGTTTTGTCCTTATTTTACTTTAGTGCTTATTTGCAAATTCGTCTATATTTTGTTTTCTACCATTTTCTTTGTAATTCTTCTTTGGTTTGTTTGTTATCAGTATATCTACGGCCTGATAACCACTGTCTTGAGATCTATAGCATCTGTTATTGGGACAGTCTGAGTTTTTGTGCTGATAGATTATAGAATATGTGTGTTTTGTCAATTTAGCATAAACACTTCAACCCTCATACAGGGATATCGGTAATGCGTGACAGGATAAAACCGAACGTATCTGGCCTTGACTTCAGTACTGAGTGGATGTTTTACGATGCTGCTGTCGTCTACGTTCCCTTGAAAGATCTAGGAATGCATATGGAAAAAGAGGTCTGAGTAATGAGAGTTAAAGAGCAGAGTATAAGCAACACACGAAACGAGGTGTTCAAATGGGGAGGTGGTGCTATTAATAATTGACTCCGAACGCTGAGTTTTAGAGGCAAATGAACATATTTCTTGCCTATGAGCTGTGTTTCTGTTTCTTTTTCTCCCGGAGTATTCCAGTCATAAACGCAACCCTTTGATTGGTGGAAATCAATCGCCTCTTCCTCCCCTCGTCCCAAACGTTCCAAATTTGCCTTTAAACCTCTTGGGCTACATAAATACCCAAGGGTACTTCCCTTGAGAAAAATTTGTTTCACCGAAAAATTCTGGCCTGAACTGGACACTTGCCGAGGACATTTTAAACCATCTGCCGAGGGTAACGAACATTGTAAGCCGAGTAATGATATCTCTAAAGTAATGCCTGAACAGATCTCTTTCGAAAACGTTCTGTGCAAGAGCTACTCCGACGGACCTAAACTTTATATATACACAGTCTGATATGTAAAAAACAAGCAATTCTCCCAGTACATTTTGTTTTTTATTATAAACACTCTACTGTTGCTGTGAATAATTGACTGCTGCCCTTTAATTTGATGTGCAACATTAGTCCCATATTGTAGGGAGAATGGTGTCGAATGAAAACTCTGCTGTAACAGCCAAGTAAGATAAGTGTCTAAATTTACCAACTAAGTGTCTGTCTTTAAGCATTAACTGCAAAGTCTCTGATAATTGCTGAAATATCAGTTACAGTTTCATCCGCACCTTTTCTTCATTTGTCTCCTTGTATGTTTTCCAGGATTTACCGTCTGTGGACAGGCGCAGTTTATAGCTTGTGGACCAGGAAGGTCTTCCGCGTAATCCTTGTGTAGCCACAGCACAAACTGAACGTACTTCCCTCATATCAACTTGAAGATATTCTGTATTATGAGGTTTTTTCTTAGGGCACCATCCTCCTTTTCCTCTGCTTTCATGCAGCCGGCCGTAGTAAGGATGATATTTAGTATCGTGAATACTGCTTGCTGTTATTCTGGCGTCTGGTATTCTATTCCTGTCCGCTACACCAACCGGCTCGCATCCTAAGTAAAAATCAGGTGACACAATCATTCTAGCTTCTTTATTCCATGCCAGGGCTTTGCGTCAACAATAAAATCTCAACTGTATATAAATATTAAAGAACTAAGAAGTAAAAACATAGCAGCAATTGATTGGGTACCGATAACTACACGATTTTGTTGATATTGAAATCCCTCTGCCTGTAGCCTTGGAATCACCCAAAAGGAGGTTACAAGGAGGTTACCTTACCTTTGCAGCTATTTTTTCCGTCTCCAATAAATCCGGGTTTGCATGAACACTTGTAGGAGCCCTCAGTATTGTGACAAATGGCTTTGGCCAGACAAATATGCAAATCTTCCTGACATTCGTTGATATCTATGGATAAAAATAGGTTGATTCAACATATTTCCTCCATCTTACTTGTTCAGTAAGACCTGTTCGAAAAAAACGAAAACACGATTTTGACAAAAGGCAAACCTTTTTCACAATATTTTCCTGTCCAACCAGGTGAGTTACATGCACACGAGTAGTTTGTTTCCCGGTTCACACACTTCGCATCGTTCTGGCACTGGTGCTTGGCACAATAGTCTGCAACTAGATAAAAGACTATTCATTAAGAGATGGCCTCTCATTTGCACGACAACAACATGCTAAGGAATAGTTCTTGTACTAACCACCTGTCTTCATGTCACAGCGAACCAAACTAGAGTTCTCAGATCTGGTAGAATCCAGCCAATAATTACCGCTGACTGCTTGTTCTCCTTCACTCGCCTTGATTTCCTCACACGACCTAGCAGGTAGCTCACGGATTGATCCGAGAGGAACTGCAATTGAAATGATTAAAATTTCGAATAAAAATACGAAACGTCACTAACTATGTGGCGGCGTAAAATCTATGAGTGTCAGGTGACCCATACCATCTGCTCGTGTCACCTCTAACGCATTACGTGTGATGAATGTATGAGATTTCCCGAATAATTAGCAGTCTATCAACTTATCTCTAAAAAAAATGCACAGCAAAATGCAGAGTTGCATTCACACTAGAAGACTGAGCCAGTTGATTGAGTGTCCCTCTCCCCACTTCTTTAGAGTGCTATTACTATTTGCTCTTTGCAAGATCCATTACCTCGTTTTGGGCCTATCGCTACATAATATCTGTCCTTGTCCTTGACAAAGTCCTCTGGTCTGGCCTCTTTAGTCCGGTTGCTTAGCTCACATATTGCAATGAACATGACGACATTATAGCTTTGACATCTGAGATCAGCGTGACAAGCCTCTTGGCATTCCAGCGTACCTGGTGTAAACTTGAATGTCTTATAGGTATGGCCCCTTAGCATCATCTTTTTAGTCGAGTATAGGCCACACTGCTGACTGGCAATGTCACGAAACATTTGAGAAATCAAAATTAGCGAGGTAAAAAATGAAGCCTGTCGACCAACCATGTGAAACATATCAGAGCTATGAATCCTGCGAAAAAAGAAAGCGAGCCTTTTCATTGACAAATGTAAGATTCAAGGGGCTTGAGTGTTTGAAAAGCTATAGAGACGTCTAAAAAAATAACATAAAAATGATATATATATTGGTGGAATCATACCAGTAAGTATACTTGGTAAAGAAAAACATTAGGGTAAATTCGCAACATCAACAGCTCAGACAAAATAGACGGCAAGCGAAAAAAAAGAAACTCAACCTCTCGAATATTTTTTCGGATAATTTTCCTCCATACATAAATGAAGAAAGACAATCTTGTCGCTGTAAATCCACCTTCTTTCCTCACCTTTTCAGATCTTTATCATTTGCGATCAGTTGTTGGAAAATATGACTGAGAAACGTAGGCAAAGATAAAGAGCCACTGATTTCAATTATTCCTGAAAATTTTTACTTTCTTGTCGGAGATTCTAAGAAGGCAATGATGAATCAGTTCTTAAGTTTTCTTTGTAGAAAGAGAATTGATGCGTAGTTTATGATGACGCTCTCCTTGATATCAATATCTGTGTGGTCATCCATTCAAAATCATCGTTTGAAATATCGGTGATAGAAAAATGCTATCCACAGCTATAGCTATAGGTAGCAAATTTGGCTTCGAAAGCAAGAGAACTATAATAAGCACGTCGAAATGTCGTTTAAGATTTTAGTCACAAGGTAGTATTTTTTTATTCCTGGTAAGCAATGCCCTTTATATCTTAAGCTGACTTAAGTCTTCTACTGAGGCGTGAAACAATACTGCAATCAGCCAACGGTCTACTGAGGCCGAGATGATCTTTAGAGAGGATTATAAATTTCTCCCCGCATAAGCCCTCGTCAGATAATTAGCCACTGTCCATCCCTCCAGGGATTTTTATCTTTTAGTTCATGGGAGAGTATCAGAAATGGTCCAATTTTTCTGAAACCAGATCAAGCGTGTTTTACTTTGACAAAAAGGGCGCTAATCCAGATCCAGAGTACTTAGAACAATAAAATATCGCACTTCTACATTCCGTGACTATTAGTTAAGGAGATAATTATCCACTCCAAAATATATAGGCTTAATGTAAACTTTTACTTGAATAAAAAGAAACTGTTTAAGTTTTTCTATATTTACTACATCAGGAGTCCGTTTTGCGAAAGTACCTGTAAGTAATGGAAGGGCCTGTAAAGGTGTTCTGCTTGTTTTCATTAAATTGGGGGTTCCAAATTAAAAGTTTTAAAAATCAAACAATAAAACTATTACCTTAAGAAATAGAATGGACTGGTATGGGTGTCAAAATCTGATTTTCTATTCCTAAATTTTAAAAGTCTTGATGCTTTTGATAAGGAAACACATAAATTAAAATGATAAATGAAGTTTCCTCTATGAATATCTCTGAAAACTCCATTCCATCCTAATCATGCAACGAATATTTTGTAAATATAATGTATTGTTATCACTAAGTGTGTTCCACATTGTTTTGTATGTATGTAGAGTTGGTATCTAGCTGTTATTGTTATCATCTATAAGTTTTTTTTAAAGTAACTTGTAAAGCTACACTTCTGGTCGCACAGAATTGAAATAATCTTGAAAAGTCGAGCCTTTAGACCTTGGTGTTAGTTTTTCGATGAAGGAGACTTCTGTAAAAATTTTAAAACTAGAATTGCGAAGAATTGTTCATTAAAAATTGTAAAATATAAGTTTTACGTTTTCACAGGAAGAAAAATATTATTATGTATATTATCCAAGATAATATACATAAAATTAATTCGCTTACCACTCACCGAAGCGTACATTTAATTTTTACTTTATCTTATTTATAGAAAACCTGGTGTTGCATGCAATTGCTGAGACACTTGAACAATACTAGATTTTATTCTTCCCAACCGCAGCTGTAGAATCTATTATAGGAATGACATTAAAAAAGATGTTCCTACTTCATGTTTCATGTCTTTGCATTCTTGTTTGAACTGGTCAACCAGCTGGAGGAGCAGCGGATTCGTTGTTATTGTTATTGTTTTTGTTTTGAAAGGTATTTCTATCTTTTTTTTTCGAGACGATTTGACTCTACAAAACTTTACATAATCATACGTACGTCATCTGACATTAAAACTATCCTAGAAAATTAATAATACTAAGATAGGTTTATATTTTAATAAAGAAGATTCCAGATAGTCTGGGGTGGAAAGACGTTGTCATTTGACCTGTAAAAGAGCCTCCCCAATCCTCGAAATTCAGTTTAGCTTTTTTTTTCATTGAAAGAGTTTAAGAATTCCTAACGAGACATTTTGTTGTTATTTTACAAAACCAACAAGCACCATCCTCTCGGCAATTTTCCAACAAAAACCTCATCCACCTTGTTATTCTTTTGCCCTAGTGCTTACGTGAAAATGTGTCTAATTTTTTCTTTGTTGTTCTGTTCTGGTTTGTTTGTTAGCAGTTTATCTGTGGCCTGATAAGCATTGTCTTGAGATCCACAGTATCTGTTGTTGGGACAGTTTAAGTTTTTGTGCTGATAGATAAATGAATACTTTTGTTTGTCAATCTAGCACAAATACTTCAACCCTCATACAGGGATGAAATCGATGCGTGACGGGATAAAACCGAACGTATCTGGTCTTGATATCATTACTGACTGGATGTTTCACGATGCTGCTTTGGTCTGCGTTTCCTTGAAAGATCTAAGAATAAAAGAAATCTGAGTAACGAGAGTTAAAGAGCAGAGCGTAAGTAACACACAAAACGAGGTGTTGGAACGGGGAGGGAATGCTGGGAATAATTGACTCCGGACGCAGAGTTTTAAATAAAGGAAAAAGAGCACATTTTTTGCCTGTGAGCTGTGTTTCCATGTTTCTTTTTATCCTGAAGTATTCCAGTCAAAAACTGACCAGGTCAGAGTAGGCGACAAAGAAAGTGACGTCAAAGCGACCCTTTGCTTGGTGGCAATCAATCACTTCTCCCTCCCCATATCCAAATTTTTTCCTGTAAGTCTCCCAGGCTACATAAATGTCCAAGGTTACCATTTATAAGCTGAGTAATTATATGACCTTTGAAGTCATTCCTGATACAGAACTCTTTCGGAAACTTTCTGGATAGGAGCTACTCTGACGGAACTCCACTCCGTGTATGCAGTCAGATATGTAAAAACGTGCATTTCTCCTAGCGCTAATTGCTGAACATTTGAGAGATTTAGCACCGCGTTTTCGTGAAACGTGACAACATGAGTGACCGGCCACGTGACCTTGTTTTTCCTACCTTCTTTTTACGTCTGCCGGTTGCGCTTTGTCGTTTCCACGTGAAAGTAACCTGTTTCACATTTGCCGTTTTCTTCTTAGAGGGTAGAAGTTAATTTCCAGAAAAAGGGCACTAAAACTATTATCTGTAGGTCATACAAAAGTTAAATGAAAGGTGAAAAGGCAAGCTGAAATTTGCCATTTCACGCAAACGTGGTGCTAAATCTCTATTTCGACGCAGAACATTAGTCACATATTGTAGGGAGAATATTACCGAATGGAACTGTACTGTAATAGCCAAGAAAGTGTCTGTCTTTAAGCTAACACTATGCATTAACTACAAACTCTTTGATAATTGCTGAAAATGTCAGTCACAGTTTCATCCACACCTTTTCGATATTTGTCTCCTTGTAAGTTTTCCAATTTAAGCCGTCTGCGGACAGGTGTAGTTTATAGCTTGTGGTCCATGCATTGTTACTTCGTAATCCTTGTGTAGCCACAGCACAAACGAAACGCACTTCACCCATATCAACCTGGAGATAGTCTGTTCTATCAGTTGTAGTCTTAGTGCACCACCCTCCTTTTCCTCTCCTTTCATTCAGTCGGCCGTAGTAAGGATAATATCTACTATCGTAAAAACTGCTGGCTGTCATTCTGACGTCTGGTATTCTGTTGCTGTCCTCCACACCAGCCAGCTCGCATACTAAGTAAAAACAGGCGACACAATCACTCTATTCCTTTCTAATTTCATCTCAGAGCCTCGCTTCACTGGTAAAATTTCATCTGAACTGCTATTATCAGAGAACTTAGAGGTTTAAACATAGTAGTAATTGATATGGGCACCCATAACTACAGGATTTTTTTATTTCTAATCTACAAAAATCCTCTGGATACGTTGTTATTATCAGATCAGAGAGAGGTAAGTTCCAGAATGTGACTAGTCGATTTTCATCTTTCCCATGGTAAACTTAAAATCAAACTCTGAAATTGACAAGTTTTTCATATTTCAAAATAGTAACTAAAGCGTTATTAGATGAGCAAAGTTTTCTATCGGCTGGCGACATGCATGTTGTTTTAAATATATTCAAAATATATGTTTTATTGGGGTAAATATAATATAAACCACTTGCTTCTAAAGAATATTAAATCTGATGAGCATAAGAGATTATTCATTTTGTAATCTCCTGATGACTGTGAATGTTTTTTGTATTGTTAATGACTTTTTCCTCGTTCATAATTATGTATTGGAAATCAAGAAGGAAAACCTAGATCCAGCTGATCGATGTCCCCATTAATTAGTTTTTAAACTCTTTGTAATCTTTCATCGGGTAAGAAACAGGAGGGCAGGGGGTGTCTTAGTCCCGGTTCATGCTCAAATTAAAAAAAAAAAATTCACGTGTCACTTCTATAAACGGGAAAAAGTCAAATTTCTCTTCTTGCGTACAAGGTTCCAGAGAAATCTTGGCGTTTCCAAAAACTCAAAGAAATACCGCTGTGAGTCACGTAAATTTCAGAAGCAGATCACACCTCACGCTGGTTCACATATGAATTTCGGCCTCAAGTTGACTCGATTATAACATACGGTCGGATTACTGAAATGTCAGTCATTCTTACCTGCTTTAATAGACAGTTTCATAGCGGAGAACTTCTTAAACAACCCTCCTGAGGTGGCTGTGCAGGTATATATGCCCGAGTCTTCACCTTTAGTATTCCATATCTGAAGTGTTCCATCCACACTGACACGTGATCTTCCGACGGGCAGCTCACTCTTCTCTCTCACCCACGTGACTTTTGGTTTAGGGTCACCAGTAGCACGACAAGGGACTGAAATGTTTCTTTTTGTTTCAACAGCAATCTGAGCCGGAGGATTGGCAGTAAACCTGGGCAGCTCAAAAACACCAAGATTTGTCAGAGCTGAGTCATGCCCTAGAATATTGGAGGCTTTGCATTCGTACAAACCAGAATCTCTCTTTTGGGTACTTATTATTGACAGTTGTCCGTCTTTCACAACAGTTCTAGAATGCACAAGTACACCGCGTCCTTTAGACCAAGTGATGTTTGCTGGAGGAAAACTGGTCACATGGCATTTTGGTAAAGTGACGTTTTTGCCTTTTTCAACATAAACAGGACCAAAGTAGAGGGAAACCTTCGGTTTACCTAAATGGAAATAGGATAATTATCATTGTACATACTTGACATAGCTGCTATTGATTGCGTGGCTCCATAAAATACCAGATAAAAGTACATTTGATTTAAATTCATTTGGTGGTTCAAAATAACTTTCAGCTTTTATTTTTGGTTAACGTACTATGGTAGAACCGCATTTTCGTTGCGGAAATGAAGTGTCCCTTCAATCGGTTGGGACTAAGAATTTTGTGTCCCTCAAAACGCTCAAGGAGTGATTTGAAATAATGAGAATTTTAGTTTTTGAATCACAGAGGCGTAGGAATTACATGGACATAGGAACGTATATTTAAACCTACTTTGAACGACGAGACTAGCAGCTTTTTCATCCTCTCCCAGGATATTTCGCGCCATGCATCTGTATTCGCCGGCATCTTCCATCCGAACGCCAATGAATTGCATCAGACCGTCTGAGCGTACTTTAGTCCTGTTGCCTGGAAACGATCCATTGACCTTTGACCAGAATATTTGAGCCGCTGGATTTCCCGAAACAGAGCATTGGAACGAGGCTGTTTTAGTTTCGTTGACAATTAGCTTAGGTGGAGAGATTGTTATCTTTGGTGATGAAATGGACCTTCCTGGTTCACCTTTGGTCCCTGGGATACCCGAAATACCCGGTGGCCCTATGTCACCTTTTATTCCTTTTTCTCCTCTCATCCCCGGTGGTCCCATAATTCCTTGTTTTCCGCTCCTTCCTGGTGGTCCCATGATTCCCCGAGGGCCTTTTCTTCCTTTCTTCCCCCTTTCTCCTTTGTGTCCAGCTCTCCCTGGAGGTCCTGGCCGCCCACGAGGACAAAAATTCAAATTGCCTTTGAACTGGCAAATCTTCAACGAAGATGAAATAATGTCTTCCATCATTTCTCTTATCTTTGCTGAGTTATTAAAAGGAGGCGGGTGTGAAATACTACGCCTCAGTCGACGGATTTCAGGCTTCTTAGAGGTGGTGGGTACAACTGAAACTTTATCAAATAAAGAAAGAGATTAACTTGACGTGACACGTTAGTGCCTTCTTAAATGGCAAAACAAAAAATACCTATCTATCTACTAATTTTTTTTCTGTCTTGATTCTGATCACCATTTTTCCATAAGTTGTGTGCTTGTGTGATAGGGAGGGTGGTGCAGGAAGGCAGTAGGGTCGGGGGCAGGGGGTGAACCCCGTATTGTTTCGAGACAAAGAGCGTAATGCGAAGATATGCAAGTACTGTTGTTTTTAATATTTAATTTTACCGACAGCTACTTCCTGTATATCCGTCATTTGATTTTAACGAAGCGCCGAAAAAGGAATAAAGAAAGAAAGACTAATAAACTTTCCCACGCAGCAACATCGTTTGCGGGACGTTTTGACTGTGACGCATGCGGAACGTTTTGACTACGATGCATGCGTGACTTTTTGACTGATGAGCATATGGCATGGTGTAATAGCGGAGGAAGTTTCTGGGGTGCAAAATTAGCACAGATTACAACACGCTCAAAACGCCTACAAAATATGCACACAGCGTTCGCGGACTCACTAAAAGATGCCGAGCGTTTCGGAACGGGTCGATCCGCAAACCTTACGAGAGAGCTCCTTTTGAGCGAAAATTTATGATTAAACCTTTTATCAAGAAAACATGCTACATCAACTGAGTTATCTAATGTTAATCGAGAGAAGTATGAACGCAAATTTCATTGTGATTGTAGACGTGATCTTGAACCAAGCAGAACACCAATACGAAGGGAGTAAACACAAATGTGCGTCCAGCTTCATGAGATAACAAGCTGTATTGTCTCGTTGAAAATACGTTGGCCAACACATCCAGTGTTATATTTCAGTAGCGCTACTCTGAGCCAATAATAGTGTACTGCTGACCTTGCCTGCCTCTACATCCGTTCTCTTGGCAAATTCACAACAAATATATGTATCCCATAAGAGAAAACAAAGATTGAGATCGCTAAAACCAACAGGAATCACTTATATCGTTGGCTCACTCTTCTTCCGGCAAAAGGCTTTTGAAAATATGTCTTCTGTTGTAGGAAAAAGTCAGAGACAAGCGCACTGTGCCACAACAGATCAAGACAGAAGACATGACGATGAGTCATGTGTACGAGCTCGCCAGTATTTTCGATCAAAAAGATTTTACTCCGTGCAACTCAAGGTCGTTTTACACGAATTAGGTTGTAGAAGCATGTCTCGCAACAAACAAGACAACTATGAATTTGATTTACAGACAGATATTGACTTTACCTTTTTCATCCGAAGGCAAATGTATCCTCGCCTGTCTCATCTTACTTTGAGTTATGACTTCCTCCACAGTCTTCAATCTTTGTTCATAATCATTGAATTTGGTCTCGATTCGAATGAATCCAGCGGCGTAAAGAAGCAAACAGAAAACAGATAGAGCTGTGCCGGGGCTCAATGGGAAAGAACGGTCTTTAAGAGACATCACGAAAGCAAAATGATCGAATGTTCTCCAAAACCACTTGTTATGAGATACTCCTGAAACTTGAACCTTTTAAATTGATTGTACTTTCAGCTCAGAAGGCTTGGAAGGAAGTCACATAACCCTATCTAGTAGCTCGACAAAAAATATCCCTATCACTTATGTGATAGCGTATCGTACACTATTCAAATTTAATACTAGCCATAAACACATTTTTTTCGGGCTGGAAAAAAAAATGTGTTTTGTTGCTTTTTTCGAAATGAATAGTAACAAACGGGCTCTGTAATCTGGAAAAAACATTCGCTTGGAAACTGAAATAACCAATCAGACGATGCGTACTATGCTTATTTGTTATGTCTGAAATAGGACACCAGCATCAAAACAACACTTCCTTCTTTCTACTTCCTTCATCCAATTTCTTTATCTAAATTTTTATTATTTTATTTCTCATTTAAATTCTGTAATCATCAACATTTGCTCCATTAAAAAAGTAATTTCCTAATTATAGCTACTAGTGGCTATTTGGGTATTTTGGCCACCACTGGCTGATTAAGCGCTTTGGCCATTAGTGGCCTTTTGAGCAGTTTTGTCTATGGTGGCCTTTCAGGCATTTTGGCCACTAGTGGCCGTTTGAGCAATTTTGCCACTAATGACTAATCGCCACTAATGGCCACTTTGCCAAAACGGCCACTAGTGGCCGAAATGCCCAAGCGGCCATTAAAGGCCAAAATACCAAAAAAAAAAAAAAGCCAATAGCGGCGAAACTGCCAAAATGGCCAATATTGGCAAAAATTCCGAAACGACCACTAATGTCCAAAATGCCCAAACGGCCAGTAGTGGCTAAAATACGCAATCGGCCACTTGTGGCCTGAAAGCCCAGACGGCCACGAGTGGCCAAAATACATAAAACGGCCACAAGTGCCCAAAATGCCCAAACGGCTTCTTGTGGCCAAAACGCCAAAACTACCACAAGTGCTCAAAATAGCCAAACGGCCACTAATGGTCAAAATGCCAAAACGACAACTAGTGGCCAAAATGCCAAAACGGCCACAAGTGGCCAAAATGCCCAAACAGCCACTTCTGGCCAAAATGCAAAAACGGCCACTTGAGGCCAAAATGCCCAAACGGCCACATGTGACCAAAATGCCTAGACAGCCATCAATAGCCAAAATGCCCAAACGGCCACATGTGACCAAAATTCCAAAACGGCCACTTGTGGCCAACATGCCCAAACCGCTAGTAGTGACCAAAATGCCAAAAGGACCGTTAGTGGCCAAAATGTCAAAACGGCCATTAGTTGCCAAAATGCCAAAAGGGCCACTAGTGGACAAAATGCCAAAACGGCCGCTAGTGGCAAAAATTCCAAAACGGTCACTAGTAGCCTAAATGCCAAAATGGCCACTATTGGCCAAAATGCCCAAACGGCTACTAGGGGCCAAAATGCCAAAACGGCCAGTACAGTAACGAAAATGGCCAATCGGCCACTTGTGGTCAAAATGTCAACACAGCCACTACAGTAAAAACCCGCAAGTAAGAACCTAAAAATTAAGAACCTGTTAGCCTAAAATTTGCCATTTATCCCCCCCTGTAAACAAGAACCTAGTAGCCTAAGAAAATTAAAATAGGTTCTTATTTTCTAAAATCATATATTACATTACAGGTACACTGAAATTATTTACTGTAATCATAATCGAAGAAAAACCAGATTGCCATTGCTGTAAAACATGATTTTCTTAAGAAAAATGAGTGCAAATTATGTAGTTACAAAATATAGGACAATTACCAACTTGTTATGCAGGTGTGTTTTTCTCCAAGAATAAGAACCTGTTTTAAGAACCTAAATAGCCTAAAATTTTGTTAAGTACCATTTATATAAGAACCTGTTTAGGCTAACTCCTATAGCACGAATTATGCTTGGCCTTAGAGGGGCATGAAGAGTTTGTGCCAAAAACTTAACAAACCTTAATAAGCCAAATTTTTCTCAACCNCCCAAGCATTCACTGGTGGCAAGAATGCCCAAGCGGATGAAGTGGCACAAATGCCAAAACGGCCAATAGTGGCGAAAATGCTTTAACAGCCACATATAGCAAAAATGCCTCAACAGCAAGTAGTGGCTAAAATGCGTCAAAGGCCACTAGTGGTCAAAATTCCCCAACGGCCGCTAGTGGCCGAAATACCCAAAGAGCCATTAGTGGTCAAAATTCCCAAACGGCCACAAGCGGCAAAAATGCATAAACGGCCAATGGTGGCTAAAATGCCCAAGCATTCACTGGTGGCAAGAATGCCCAAGCGGATGAAGTGGCACAAATGCCAAAACGGCCAATAGTGGCGAAAATGCTTTAACAGCCACATATAGCAAAAATGCCTCAACAGCAAGTAGTGGCTAAAATGCGTCAAAGGCCACTAGTGGTCAAAATTCCCCAACGGCCGCTAGTGGCCGAAATACCCAAAGAGCCATTAGTGGTCAAAATTCCCAAACGGCCACAAGCGGCAAAAATGCATAAACGGCCAATGGTGGCTAAAATGCCCAAGCATTCACTGGTGGCAAGAATGCCCAAGCGGATGAAGTGGCACAAATGCCAAAACGGCTATTAGTGGCGAAAATGCTTTAACAGCCTCATATAGCAAAAATGCCTCAACGGCAAGTAGTGGCTAAAATGCGTCAACGGCCACTAGTGGTCAAAATTCCCTAACGGCCGCTAGTGGCCGAAATACCCAAAGAGCCATTAGTGGTCAAAATTCCCAAACGGCCACAAGCGGCAAAAATGCATAAACGGCCAATGGTGGCTAAAATGCCCAAGCATTCACTGGTGGCAAGAATGCCCAAGCGGATGAAGTGGCACAAATGCCAAAACGGCCATTAGTGGCGAAAATGCTTTAACAGCCACATATAGCAAAAATGCCTCAACAGCAAGTAGTGGCTAAAATGCGTCAAAGGCCACTAGTGGTCAAAATTCCCCAACGGCCGCTAGTGGCCGAAATACCCAAAGAGCCATTAGTGGTCAAAATTCCCAAACGGCCACAAGCGGCAAAAATGCATAAACGGCCAATGGTGGCTAAAATGCCCAAGCATTCACTGGTGGCAAGAATGCCCAAGCGGATGAAGTGGCACAAATGCCAAAACGGCCAATAGTGGCGAAAATGCTTTAACAGCCACATATAGCAAAAATGCCTCAACAGCAAGTAGTGGCTAAAATGCGTCAAAGGCCACTAGTGGTCAAAATTCCCCAACGGCCGCTAGTGGCCGAAATACCCAAAGAGCCATTAGTGGTCAAAATTCCCAAACGGCCACAAGCGGCAAAAATGCATAAACGGCCAATGGTGGCTAAAATGCCCAAGCATTCACTGGTGGCAAGAATGCCCAAGCGGATGAAGTGGCACAAATGCCAAAACGGCCAATAGTGGCGAAAATGCTTTAACAGCCACATATAGCAAAAATGCCTCAACAGCAAGTAGTGGCTAAAATGCGTCAAAGGCCACTAGTGGTCAAAATTCCCCAACGGCCGCTAGTGGCCGAAATACCCAAAGAGCCATTAGTGGTCAAAATTCCCAAACGGCCATCAGCGGCTAAAATGCCCAAACGGCCACTAGTGGCAAGGATACCCAAACGACCAGTAGTGTTTAAAAAGCCCAGATGGCCACTAGTAACTTACATCTCCAATCGGCCACTAGTGGCCAAAATGGTTAAGCAGCCACTCGAGACAAAAATGCCTAAATACTGCTAAAAATGCCTTAAATGCTAAAACGGCCACTAGTGACGTATATGCCCAAACAGCTACTAGTGGCCAAAATGCTTAAACAACCAAAAATGGCAAAAATGCCCAAACGACCTGTAGTGGCTAATATGCTAAAACGGCCACTTGTGGCGCAAATGCCCAAAAGGGCACTTGTGGCCAAAATGCCCTAACGGCTACTAGTAGCCAAATCGCCCTAACGGCCACTAGTGACAAGAATACCCAAACAGTCACTAGTGGTCAAAATGTCCAAACGGCCAGTAGTGGCCAAAATGCTTAAACAGCCACAAATAGCGAAAATGCCTCAACGGCCAGCACTGACTAAAATGCCCAAACGGCTACTAGTGGCAAAAACGCCCAAACGGCAACTGGTGGCCAAGCTACCCAAACGGCCCCTAGTTTCCAAAATGCTTAAACAACTACAAATGGCAAAAATGCCCAAACGGCCAGTAGTGGCTAAAATGCTCGCACAGCCACTAGTGGCAAAAAGGCAAAAACGCAATCAAAAATGAAAAAAATGCCCAAACGGCCAGTAGTGGGCAAAATGCTCAAACAGTCACTAGTGGCTAAAATGCTCAAACAGCCACTAGTGGCCAAAATGCCTAAACGGCCTCTAGTGGCCAAAATGCCCAAAGAGCTACTTGTGGCCAAAATGTTAAAAGGGCCGCTAGTGGCCAAGATTTCCAATCGGTATTTAGTGACCAAAATGCGCAAAAAGGCCAATCATGCCCAAAATTCCCAAACGACCACTAATGTCCAAAATGCCAAAACAGCCACTAATGGCAAAAATACCGAAACGGCCACTCGTGGCCAAAATGCCTAAGCGGCCACTAGTGGCCATCACGCTTAAACGCAATCAAAAATGAAAAAGAATGCCCAAACGGCCAGTAGTGGCCAAAATGCTCAAACAGCCACTAATGGCTAAAATGCTCAAAAGGCCACTAGTGGCCAAAATGCCAAAACGGCTTCTAGTGGCCAAAACGCCCAAACGGCCACTAGTGGCCAAAATGCCCAAAGAGCTACTAGTGGCCAAAATGTCAAAAGGGCTGCTAGTGGCCAAGATGTACAATCGGCATTTAGTGGCCAAAATGCGCAAAAGGCCAATTATGCCCAAAATGACCAAACGGTCACTAATGGCCAAAATGCCAAAACGGCCACTCATGGCCAAAAATACCAAAACTACCATTAGTGGCCAAATAGCCGAAACGGTTAATAGTAGCCAAAATATCCAAACGGCCACTGGTGGCCAAAATGCGCAAATGGAAACTAGTGACCAAAATGCCCAAACGGCTTCTAGTGGCAACAACGCTTAAATAGCCACTTATAGCCAACATAGTTGACGCTTTTGCTAACATTTTATTCGTTAAGATATTTTATTTAATAGTTATACAAAATACAGAGCATATAATTATCGTCTTTTGAGGAGTGGGCTTTACCTCTTATTACCTATAGACAACGACTACATAGGATGACTATTTATGCCTCTGTTATTTTGCATTCTCTGTCAACATTCTAGTTTAACTGCGACAGAATCAGAACACAATTCTTCACTCTTTGAAAATATCTTGTTACAGAAAAGCATTATATCTATCAAGCACATGAAGTCAGCCAGATATTTGAGTCTTGCCCCACCTCACTATCCCTTATAATCATAAAAATGTTACAGTTTGTTTTCGTGGTGAATACTCTTTCTATTTGGAGCACAATCGTTTTTCTCTTCGCGTAGTAACCTCGGATGTTAACCACGACGCTTCGATTGATAGTATTCTTTGTCTGAGGACTGAGGTCTATGAATATGCAGTCGGGAGGTAGCAATCTACATCCGAAGTGACTAAGTCGTGAGAAAAACAATTTTTCTTCTCATAGTAACTCTGGAACCCCTCGTTACTGGAACTTAAAAGTCTTGAAGTTTTTGAAAGGGAAAGAGATAAATTAAGATGATAAATACATTTTCCTCTATATAATACACACCACTCAAACTATATCAAAGAGAAAAAAATTCCATTTTATACACTTCAAGAGGTTTTTACAAAATATGCGTAACACATCTCAGAATTGTTATTTGTCAACCAATTTTTATGGAGATGTTGCCCATATAAAAAGGAATCTTTTTAGTTAATTTTTGCCCCATTACTTTATATCCTTTGGGTATCACTTGATTGACAGTTCAAATTTTGATGATATTGTAGGCTAATTTATGCTAAATTGAAAGGATTTATTGAGGTTATAGTTTTTTTCTTCAGAGGAAACATGAATTTTAGGAAAGCTTATTTACTGCTGTTTCAAATGAGGTATAGCTTACTTCCCTTGTGTAAATACTTGGTGAAAAAAACTTCAATAATCTGGGTCAATTTTTACGATTTTGGGGTACAGTTTGAAAATAAATTGTAATTAATTCTGTATTTATTCTTTTTCAGCGAAATTCTCTAGTTGTCTTGCCTATAAAACAAGAAATATTTCTTATTTAATAGTTACCTTCTAATTGCATTCCATTCAGGCCTAGGTTGTTACAAAATCGCAAGTTGTTTGATAAGTTATGTAAATTTTATGCCATTTACTTCACATGATTTAAAATACATGCATTTTAGGAAACAAAACATTTTTTCTGTAAAGCTTACTTTGTCCTCTTTTTAATGAGATATTGCACTACTCACTAGTGTAAGTACCTTTCGACAAAAAAAGTAAAAGAAAAAAGGTTGCCATGACTCGTCCTTTTTTGTAATCTCTAGGGGTTACTGAATATTTTTATTTCGTCAATTTAGCACAAACACTTCAACACTCATACAGAGATGATGGTTATACGTGACAGGATAAAAGCGAACGTATCTGGCCTTGACTTCAGTACTGAGTGGATGTTTCATGATGCTGCTTCGGTCTGCGTTTCCTTGAAAGATCTAGGAATGGAAAAGAAATCGGAGTAACGAGAGTTATAGAGCAGGGTTGTAAACTACACACAAAACGAGGTGTTAGAACGGAGAGGGAATGCTGAGAATCATTAACTCCGGACGCAGAGTTTTAAGGGAAAAAGAGCACATCTCTTTCCTGTGAGCTGTGTTTCTATGTTTCTTTTTTTCCTTAAGTATTCCAGCCACAAACTGAACATGTCAGAGCGGACGAAAAAGAAAGAGAAATAAACGCGACCCTTTGTTTGCTGTAATAGCCAAGGAAGATAAGTGTCCAAATTCACCAACTGAGTGTCTATCTTTGAGCTAACACTTTGCATCAACTACAAACTCTTTGATAATTACTGGAAAGGTCAGTTACAGTTTCATCCACACCTTTTCAATATTTGTCTCATTGTAAGTTTTCCAAGTTAAACCGTCGGTGGACAGGTGTAGTTTATAGCTAGCGGTATATATAGGGAACCAATAATACTGTAGTCCTTGTGTGGCCACAGCACAAACAGAACGCACTTCACCCATATCAACTTGAAGATAGTCAGTTCTATCAGATGAAGTCTTAGTACACCAAAATCCATGTCCCCTGCTTTCATTCAGTCTGCCGTAGTAAGGATGATAACTACCAGAGTAAAAACTGTTTGCTGTCATTCCAGCGTCTGGTATTCTGTTTCTGTCCGCTACACCAACCAGCTCGCATACTATGTAAAAACAGGTGACACAATCATTTTAACTTTTTTATTCCATACTAAGGCCTCGCGTCAACAACAAAATTTCAACTGTATACGATTATTAAAGAAGTATTAGGTAAAAAAATAGCAGCAATTGATTGAGTACCGATGACTGAATGATTTTTTTCTTATATCGAGTCTACGAAGTCACTCTTCCTATAGGCATGGAATCACTCAAAAAAAAAATTAGGCCCGCACTTATTATAAGATGAAAGAGAGGTATGTTCCAGAGACTAGCTAGACGATTTCCATCTTTCCCATGAAAAACTGTGAATAACATTCTGAAATTGCCAAGTTTTTCATATTCCAAAATAGTAAACTAGACTTTTTGGGAATTTTCTTTAGATATGCTATGTTTTTTAATGAAGGAAGCTGTCATTTTTTATCTCGCTAAGCAATCTAAACGCTTTGACTCCAGTAAGGACTGGTTCACCTGACCAGTTGTGTGATCCCTCATTGTTGTTACAAGTGGCATTGGCCTGACAGCCATGCATACCTTTCTCACATTCGTCGACATCTATAGATAGGCATAGGTCAGTTTAACATCAATCGTTCATCTTAATTTTTTCACATGAGCTTAAGAGAATATTTTGTCAAAGAAGAGTCAAAGCTTATTCATGCAACAGAATCCTGTCCATGACGAAGGACAAGCAAAGGGATGATAATGATTTTTCTGATGACCATAAAGATGATGATGATGATGATGACGATTTTGACGGGCGGGAAGAGAAAAATGAGGATGTACACAAAGCTTAAGAATGTGGGGGATAAGGATAATGAGCAAGACGAAAATAATGAGATGGAAATGGAGATGAGGATGACAATTAATCTTAGATGATTGTTAAATAAAATGAGGATGAAAACAAAAATGAGAATGAGAATGACGACAACCAAACAAGAATAAGGAATGGAACGAGGATGACGATGAAAATGATTGAAAGGGCGACATTGATGAGGATGACAACGTTAATAATTTTGATGATGAAGATGATAACAGCTGGTGTAGTAGTCAGAATGTACACGGTAGAACCCAGCAAGTTTTACCCTAGTATCTAATAGGGGCTCCACAGAAAGGGATCTACAGCCTCACCTTTGCAGCTATTTTTTCCGTCTCCAATAAATCCTGGTTTGCATGTACAGTTGTAGGAGCCCTTAGTGTTGTTACAAATGGCGTTGTCCAGACAAATATGCAGGTCTTCCAAGCATTCGTTGAGATCTATGAATAAACATAGGTTAATTGTGTTAGTTTCGAAACGCGTAGCTCGTGTACTTTCCTTTTATGTTTGTTTCAGTTTATTTTAAACGATAATTATTTCGTTAGTTAATGATTATTATCTAATAAGTTTCTTATTTCAATCAGTTTTATTTAAACACATGTACGAGATATAATTGTATCTTATATTTTATCGCTATTAGTTACTGTTGACACTACCCAATTTTTGTCTGCTATTTTCTAATCATCTGCTATCAAAGTTAACGAGTTACTTACTATCGTTAGGAGCTAGACTAAATTAAGTCTTTATTTATTCTACATTAATGATATTTCCATTTTTTGTCTGTATTATTGGTTATTTCTCGCTTTCAGTTCACTTTATAATCATTTTATTGTTGATTAGACTGGTGTTACAGTTCTTAGGGATGTTTTCGTAGTCAGTTTCTGTTGTAGTTTTGTTTTAGTTCGAGCCACACAAATTCAGCTACAACTATCAATCATAACTACACTATCTTCAATCTATACTTTGCCCTTTTCATCCATGATTTCACACCAATTTCTTTATTTTCATTAGTAATTTTGAATACCTACCGCATTTAATTAAACCGTGATTTCTCTTGTGCGTTCGAATTTTCTTCTCCGCTACACTAGTAACCTTCGAAGGTTACAAATTCGATATCTTTCCTCCATGTTATTTGTTCAGCTGTAAAGAGAAAATATTTTGACAAAGGCAAACCCTTTTTCACAATATTTTCCTGTCCAACCTGATGAGTAACACGCACACGAGTAGTTTGTTTCTCGATTCACACACTTTGCATCATTTTGGCACTGGTGCTTGACGCAATAGTCTGCAACTAGATAAAAGACTATTATTAAGAGATGGCCTCTCATTTGCACGACAACAACATGCAAAGGAATATTTCTTGTACTAACCTCCTGTGTTCATGTGACAACGAGCTAAACTGGAGTTCCCAGATCTGGTAGAATCCAGCCAATAATTACCGCTGACTGCTTGTTCTCCTTCACTCGCCTTGATTTCCTCACACGACTCAGCAGGTAGCTCACGAATTGATCCGAGAGGAACTGCAATTTAAATCATTAAAATTTAGAACTTGACAAAAATATGAAACGTCTCTAACTATATAGCAGCGTAAAATTCATGAACATCAGGTGACCCATGCCATCCGCTTGCGTTACCTTTGATTTATTTCGTGTGATGTATGGGATTTCCCCCATAGTTAGCAGTCTATCAACTTATCTCTAAAAGAATACGATTATAATGCAGAGAGTTGCATTCACATTAGAAGATTGAACTAGTAGATTGAGTGTCCTTCTCTCCACTCCTTTAGAGTGTTACTACTATAATTTAATCTTTGCAGGATCCATTACCTCGTTTTGGACCTATCGCTATGTAATATCTGTCTTTGTCCTTGAGAAAGTCCTCTGGTCTGGCCTCTTTAGTCCGGTTGTTTAACTCACATATTGCAATAAACATGACAACATTATAGCTTTGACATCTGACATCAACGCGACAAGCCTCTCTGCATTCCAGCGTACCTGGCGTAAACTTGAACGTCTTACAGGTACGGTCCGTAAGCCTCATTTTTTTAGTCGAGTATAGGCCACACCGCTGACTGGCAGTGTCAAGGAACATTTGAGAAATCAAAAATAGCGGGGTACAAAATAAAGCCTGTCGACCAGCCATGTGAAGCACATCGGACCTATGACTCCTGCACAAAAAAAAGCGAGCATTTTTATTGAAAAACGTAAGATTCAAGGGGCTTGAGTGAAAAGCTATAGGGACGAAATTAAGACTGGTTCGAAAAAAAATATTAATAGAATCATACCGATGAATATACTTGGGAAAGAAAAATATCAGGTTAAATTTTGAAGTTTTCTCTGTAGAAAGAGAATTGATGTGTAGTTTATGGTAACGTCCCTCTTGATATCGACCTCTGCTTGGTTATCCAATCAAAATCGTCTTCTAAAATTTCGGTGATGGGAAAAAACTATCCACAGCTGTAGGTGGCAAATGTGGCCTCGAAGGTAACAGAAGTTCTATGATAAGCACGTTGAAATATTCGTTCAGATTCTAGTCACAACGTGGTTTGTTTTTTTTTTTTTCTTTGTAATTTCAGGATGAATGTAACCTTCTGCAGGAAAAGAACGACGGTAAACTACCAATATGGAGTCGAGCGTTTTTATCTAACTTTTATTGAATTTTTTTTTTCTCCTTTTTCTGAAAAGGCAGTTCCATGAACAAGATTTCGAAAATGTATACACATACCTGGTTAGCAATACCTTTCGTTTCTTAAGCTGACTCTGATAAGTCTTCTTCTGAGGCGTGAAACAAATAATACTGCAGGTTGCCAACAGTCAACTGAGGCAGAGATGATCTTTAAGAGGGAATTGTAAATTACTCCCCACACGAGCCTTTGGCAGATAATTAGCCACTCTCTATCCCTGCAGGGGTGTTTATTTTTCAGCTCATTGGAAAGGTGTAATAAATGGTCCAATTTTTCTAAAGCTACATCATGCCGTGTTTTACTTTGGTGAAAAGATTTCTAGCATGCGTAATCCAGATCGAGATGTAATAGAGCAGTTCAGTGATCGTACTTCTGCATCTCGTGACGACTGAAAATGAGGAGATAATCAACCACGTCAAAATATAAAAAGCTTAATGTAAACCTTTACTTGTTTGAATAGACCGTTTACGTTTTTCTATATTTACCACATCAGGGGTCCGTTTCGCGAAAATACCTTTAACTTATGTAAGGATCTGTAAAGATGTTCTACATTTCTTCATTTAAACTTGGGTTTCAAATTAAAAGTTGTGAAAATTTTGCACTAAAACCATTTTTTTAAGAAATGGTCAGGGTGCCAAAATCTGATGCTCTATTCTTTTGATTTTGACATTGATATCTGCGCCCCAGATAACGTCACAGTAAAGTAATTAACTATCCTGGCTGACTTAAGCCCCGTCCACACGAGCAATTTTTATGTGGCAATTTTTTTTTGTATTTTGCAATTTTTACTTGCCCGTGTAGATGGCTCGACAAACATTTGTTGTTAATTTGCGTCAGTAATAATTTTGCACAGCGGAGATGCTCATGGAAAGGAAAAAAGCAAGATGGCGAAAGTCAGAAGACGTGCCAGACGTGTTGCAGCTTTAGGCGCGTTTGTCACATTTTATGTGGCGTCTCACCTACACGGACAATTTTTTTATGTGGCAATTTTTATTTGCCACATAAAAACTAACACGCCAGCTTTTCAGCAAATGCAGTTGTCACATAAAAATTGGTCATTTTTCATCATCTACACGGGCAAATAGAAATTGCCACATAAAAATTGCCATTTAAAAATTGCTCGTGTAGACGGGGCTTTAAGCTGCTAACTCAGGATATTTTAACTGAAGTAGTTTCATCTTCCTGTTTGTATTTAACAACACAGCTCTAGGAACCCTTAGCGATAATTATAGTTTCTATAAACCCCATTTTATCAGGCATCTTTTGGCAAAAAAGCTTATTAATCTTCCGTTTTTGAAACTTAAAAGTTATTTTTTTAAGGGACTCAACAGAGAAGTCGTTCTATGAAAAAGAAAGGTTTGGCTTTCTGTGAAGTTAAAAACAAAAAAAGTCTATTGGTTCAGAGTTAATCGAATTTCTGCTATTTCAAGGGGGTTTCTTGAGGTTAGGAGCTACCTATTTTCGAGGAATCGCAAGGAAAAGTGCGGTTGCATCGAGCCATTATTAAAAATCTGTATTCAAAGAAACTAAACTTATTGAATAATATGCTGAGTATCAATCCCGAGTGCCTTTATTTCTTGTAAGCCTATATTACATAGGCTGAAATAAGACAAATCAAGCTAAAGCCATCGAGATAAGAACTTTTGCGTATTTTTTTTAGAACTGTGCATATTTTTGGCATGTAGTGATGGTAATGCTTAAAGCTCGATGCAGACCCATAAGTGGAAGTTTCATAAACTGTAATAATTATTTTCATTTAATCTTTGCACGTTTATTTCGCTGCCTCTTAATGACACGCAAATTTGTTTCAACTGCGACACAAAGGTGAATTCGTGTTATGATATTCCCTAAATGAGATATCATAATCAATTATTGATGATGATGATCCAAGCCGAAGTCGAGTGAATATGCGAAATATTCACTGACCCTGGGAAAGTGCATTAAAGAGACTATCTCACAAAATTACATGTTATCTCGGTCATGCTACAACTCCTTTGTAAATGTAATGTATTGTTATCATAAGTGTATTCTAGTATGTTTAGCATATCTATTTACGTGGATCCCTTGTCCAGCTGTCATTGTCATTGTTATCTGTCCATATCTGTCCTTTTGATCTTGACGTCAGCTTTTCGATGAGAGAAACTTTTAAGAAATATTTAAAACTATAGTCACGAACCATTGATGATTAAAAATGAAAAATAGAAGTTTTACGTTTTCATCGGAAGAAAAAATCTTAGGTTCAGAACGCTTGTCACTTTGCATGACGGTGGAAGTTATACTCTGTTTAATATGTATTTATTTGTAAATAATTCGAATTAAAAATATCAGTCTTTTCAGAACTATTTAACCATAAAGACCCGAGCATGATTAAGCTGTATTTTGAAATAGTTAAAGCTACGGTGGTTGATTTGAATCCGGCTTTTTGCCTTTGTGTAGTAATATCAACCGAGAAAAAGAAGCGCATTTGAAAGAGATTATAATCTCTTGGTATTTGGAAAACGAGCTCATTTTGCGCCATAATAAGTACGTCAAAAATATAAGCTAGAATGAAAGTAACACAAGGTTATCGCAAAACTATTTAGAGATAAATTCCATGATGTTTGATTCCTATTTTATCGAGTTTTTTTCAGGAATAAATCAGTTCAAATTTTAATTCCACGGTAGTCAATTCAAACCTTTGTTTCACAAAAAATAAATAAATAAATTCGATAAAAAACACTGAGAATTTATGAACGAAAATCTTTTAACATTTACACATCGTAAGTAGTATAAGGGGGGCACTATGATACAGAGCTGATCAGAGATTGAGTATTTTGTACCACGTGGTACAAATTAACCAATTACATGGGATCTCAAATGGGGATTTGAATTAACGCCATGTAATTGGTCTATTCACTCCTCTCTAATCGGTTGGTTAGCAAATGGAAAGTTTATCAGCAACCACACCTTTCAATTCTTTATCGACTATTAATGACGTTTACTGAGATAAGTTAAAGAAACATTACAGTGAAAGATGGAATTGAGTCATCTTAGGCGAAAGTTTCTATGGAAGAGAGATACTAATTTGGTGGTAGTGCAAGAAGTGGGATTTCGTCTGAATTTTACCAACCAATGTGTTGGTTCCGGAGATCGCGGTAATGGCACACTTGCAAAATACGTTGTCATGTTCACTCTGCGCTATGCAATAATAGGCAATGCAGCGCTACCTCACGATGTTTTTGTAAAATAAACGCTTGAAATGAATTGAAAGAAAATGCGGTCGCTATGAAATCAGCAGAGATTTTTCACTTAGACTCAGTCTCTGCAACATACAGCTCTGTTGATTGCTTGCAGCACTAGAAGCAAAAAAGTGCTTTTACTCCACAGTATCGGAAAAATTTTGTGGGTTTAATTTGTTCGTATTTTTGGAATAGTACGTGCTCAATTCGTAAAATTTACTACGTACAGAAAGAAAACATACGCATACAGTTAATACCAACCACCGTGGTAGCAAAAACGATTAGTTGTGATGCACGGCAGAGCGGGAAACAACCCAATCGAATTGTTATGCTGGTGGAATTATATTCACTTTTGTGGCAAATAATAAATTACAACCATTTAGCTGTGTGCTTCATCGTGACGAGACAGTCATGAGATATAATTTTGATAAATTCATTCATTTATTTGTAAGGTATACATTACTGTTGTGTGCCATTCTTTGTAACTGTTAACCCAACGGAATTAGTTTTAGATATCTCTGGCTTTTCACAACCGAATGCATACAGTTGCAACAAAACTCCACTTTAAAAATTTGGTCATATACTTTAATAAATAACAATGGCTAATTAGTTTAAATTTCATCATAGGTACAAATCTGTCATTATTTCATCATAGGTACAAATCTGTCATTATTTGTTAAAAAAATGGTAGTTTTTTTTAATGGGATGACGAGAACAGTAAAAATAACGCCTAGCAGTTGTCTTTTAATATATCTGTTCACTTGATGTTTGTTACATCATTAAAAAATCATTATCATTATCAAATCCTCATGGTCATTATCATTAGAAAAATACACTATTGGTTGTAAAATGGGGGAGGGGAGGTGAGAGAAAAAAGGGGGAAAAGAAGGAAAAGGGGGAAAAGAAGGAAAAGGGGGAAAAGGGGGGGAAAGGGAGAAAAGGGGAAAAAGGGGGAAAAAGGGGGAAAACGGGGGAAGAAAAGGGGAGGTGAAACGGAGAGGGTGGAAGGGATATTGATCCCCTGACTGTGATTGTTTTTCTTGTGATATACCTGGATATTGTAAAATCCCCAGAATATTTAGAAAAAATTGGCAAAATAAAAATAACAATACACGTAACGAGAAAAAGAGATTACAAAATGATAAAAAATGACGCTAATTGCTTTGCTAAGCTTACTTTTCCGCGATATTGAGGAATGCGCTCTTTTCGTCAAGTCAAAAGTAATTGCAAAGGGTTATTCTGATTGGTTCAAATCAAGGCATATCTTCATACAACCCCTGTGTAAGGTTCTGTTTGGTCTCGGCCTCTCAATAATGGTTCATTCTCGCCTGAGTCCAGGCTTTCATCTTGTTGGTCATCAGAGGCTTGAGCCTGAAAACAATTTATATAAGGCTTTTTGATTGTATGACGAAAAATCAAAACTGATTAATCACAACGGTCCATCAGAGAACTTAGAGTTAACAAGCAGGGTCTACAAGCGGTAAACACAACTGACTAAGTTGCCACTGGTTGCAGTTTTGCATCTTATTGGTTGAGAGAATGGCGCGATTTTTCTAGACCAATTAAAGAGCAAGGTAAAGCAAAGTAATGACGAATACTCAAAAACCTGACCAGGGACTAGGATCAGCAATCACAGTACTGGGCTTACGGGGTAATTCAGGGTGTCGTGTATATCGCTTCAATCGAAAAAACAAAATAGGGTATATTTCCAGCACTTAATCATTTATTTCTACATTTCTTAACTACGTGGTCGCTTATATCACATGACCTATGCAATGGCACGAAATGGGTATAAACAAGATATATGAAAAAAGAAAAAGAAAAAAAAAAAAAGAAAAAAGGTAAACAAAATGTCGATGTTCAGTCGCGACACAGGATTTGCATAACTTTTAGGTTTTTCAGGTGATAGGGATTTAATGAGTTAATTGATAAGGATTCCTTCTTATTTTTATCCCACAAAGAAAGTATCACTATTATCTTCTAAACGAAACTATTGCATTTTCCTCATGTTCATGTTACCTGCTGTGAAGGCTCAGGCTTGGGCATCAATGGAGGAATAATCAATAGCTCATTATAAAGAGCTGTACCGAGCATCAAAAAGAGAAATCCATCGACTGCAGGAAAAAAAAAAGAGCATTTGGAGAGAAAATCACTATTTGCATTGGCATAATCCTCATTTTGTGTCCTTGTATCAAAGGCACTCGGAGATAGCCTTTTATTAGTCTTTACCATATCGTTTTATTTTCCGTATTTCAAAGAATTTTGACGGTTCAGAAAATCGTTTTTTCATTACAATAAACCCTCAAAATCATAGGTTTTTCGTAATAGTAAACAAGAAAGTAACTGCAGTGGTTGAGAATTTAGGAGATTTACACGGACAACGAATGACAAGGCTGAATCGTTCTCAGGAAACAAATCGCGGTACAAAACAGAACCCTATTATTACCTTGAAAGATACCATATCTTTTGTCCCAAGCTTCACCAAAACTCTGGAAAAAAAGAAAAATAGTATATGAAACAACACGTGTGAAATTAGTTAAATTGTTGAAACAAATATTTGTCGGTAAAAGGAAACCTAAAAAGAAAATTAAAGTGAGGTCCGTCATTAAGAGACGATGGGATGAGCGAGCCGGTATCACTTGGCAGATTTTCCAAATGAAAGGGGACACTTGGTTTGAGTCGACTAGCTTGAGTTAAAAGGTGGTCCATTTGGGATAACAAATACTTTAACAGCAAGAAAGTCGCAGAAAAGATCTAAAAGGAACAGAATACTGTTGGCGTCAAAAGACACAAATGCAAAATTATATTTACCTACAGCAGTATGAACTAAAAATTATATTCACGCTTAAAACACCTGTTGTAAAACCCAGTTCTTGGAAATATAAGACATAAGTCAAGAAACATTCATATTTGGCGTAGTCTGATTACCTCATCAAAGACATAGTGAATGAATAGGTCCACAAGCCAAACCACAATAGTTCTGCATGCATCTATTAACGTCCTGTGAACCGCTAAAAAATTACAGTGAAATGTTCAGCAAGCAACCGTGGACGATAATCCTACTCTTGTACGTTGGATCAGCAGTGATCCAATCGGCCCAAAATAACGAACATAAATATAGAGGCAAGTCCGATACAACGTAGATAAGTTTTAAAACGGAGCACTATATTTCGGCTGGCCAAACCAGCCTTCTTCAGGTGCAGTGGGAATTGACATAGAATAAGGTCAATTCCCACTGCACCTGAAGAAGGCTGGTTTGGCCAGCTGAAATATAGTGCTCCGTTTTAAAACTTAGCTAGGTTGTATCGGTTTTGCCTCTATATTTAAAAAATTATACACCTCATTAAAGTGTTCACGAAGAGACGGGCTCTGCTGAGAATTAAGATATTTGCCTTTACTTAAGCTCCCCTTCCTTTCCTATTCACGTGTTCATTTGGTATATACTATACACCTCCTGGAGCAAGCAAACTGAAACAAGATCGCGCGTCAAGGGTTTTAAATTTCCAACCATTTTCAATACTTATAGAAATAAACTCATGTTTATTAAAAATTATTCGCCTCAGGTTCGGTGAATATCGTCGGATTTTTCGACAATATTCACCGAACCTGAGGCGAATAATTGTTTTAGTATAATTTCCGAGCTGAACAACAGAGACATTTCTAAAATCATAACATTTTAGTAACATTTATTGACATTTTATTTTAACATTTTATATAAACCACGTGGAGCGGTTTATATAGCGTCATACAAGGAACCACTCGACCAATCAGATTGTTGGAAACTCTTTGCTCAGCTCTGAAATTATACTAATAACAATCATTCACCTCAGCGTCGGGGAAAGTGGTGGCTATATCCACCAATATTCACCTCCATTTCGGTGAATAAGTTCCTTTTGATTTGGAAATACTGACATATTACCTGTTAAAGACTTTGTGACTGACAGTCCAAAGAAATTGTAAAATGAAATAGAGCAGATATATAAAACTGCAAAAAGAAAAGATTCAGAAATAACTGTCAAATGTGTACACATCAATATGCAGAGCATAGGCCTATTTCGTAAACGGCGAGCACAGTTGCTATTCTTCTATCTTCATGTTATCCTCGATCCCATCCATAACAAACATTAGTATTTGCCTCTTGGCCTAAGAGCGAAGTAAAAAAGGCTTATTTGCATGTATATAACCGCCATTATAAAAGAGATCTATCTTCCAAGCTTGAAAATGATAAACTAAACCAAAACTTCCTGACACTTCTATCTAAATACGAACTGAACACGAGTATTGCTACTAATCCAAAATGAGAACTTTGTCGACATCTGACGTAAGAGCTCCGTCCCCCAATAGAACACTGATCTATCCTTAAGTTTCAAGTTACTGTGATAGCTATGCGAGCGCTTTCTGACGAATGTCTTAGAGCGAAACCAGTGACACATCGACCATTCGAGTGAAGGAAAATATCACACAAAGACACTGAGAACTCAACGTAAAGATAAGCAGACTGCCTTATAATTGCCCAATTCCGAATTACCCTGGCCTCATTTTTAAAACGAGTCCTGGTGCTCATCCTTTCAGATGATAATAAGTTTTCATTCACATACAAATTAAACTCATTTTCACAAGAATAGTTGAGCACCAGGCCTCGTTTTGAAAAAGAGGCCAAGGGTAATTCGGAAATGGGCTATTAAGCGCGGGAAACGCACGTGTCCAAAAACGTAATGGTTTTTATTCTTTTTATTAGCATCTGGACTACTTTTGAAACTCTGCTGAAAATGACTCCAGGGGCCATTAACTTGTGTGTTTGCCTGAAAGGGCAAGCCTGTTCTTAAGGTATTCGAAAACACGAGTAAACCAGAACAAACGCCGTGCCCACAAGAATTACATTCAGTGAGAGGACTTTTCATACCTGACATAATCAACAATTTAGCATTATTCTTGATCATCAGCAGAGCATCAAGACTGTTTTCATAGCTGTGGTGATTTTGTTCTCCTGGAATGTAGTACAACACTGGCAGGACTATCTGTGACACAAATAAGAGAAGAACACCATAGCCACCGACTTACTAAACGCCACTGAATCTTTCAATAATTTTGGCAATGGTGGGAATAAAATGGTGGGAATAAAATGGTGGGAATACAATGGTGGGAATAAAATGGTGGGAATAAAATGGTGGGAATAAAATGGTGGGAATAAAATGGTGGGAATAAAATGGTGGGAATAAAATGGTGGGAATAAAATGGTGGGAATAAAATGGTTTGAAAGTAAAGAAAGAGAAACTTTTGTTCTAGTTCCCAATGATGGGAAAAGAGGAACGAGACTTTGTGACGTCACTAGGAGGCGGCCACGCCGTGAAGCAAGCTTTACATGTATAATGGTGGTCTCTGGTGTTGAATGTTTACACATTTACGATCGTTTTAAAGAGTTTGGGTCACTTTGAGGATATCAAAACAGAGTCACTACCATTACTTCACGTAAAAATCTAGCTGGAGAAGGTAACAGTTGAATGGTTTGTGAAGGATACTTTTGGTTTAGTGGTAAACTTTTCGCCTAAAATAAAAAAAAATTCTCGCAGTTTAGCTTGTTTCATAAGGTTTTCGGTACTTTTAATATGTTTCCAAAGGAGAGCTGTTATTTTGAGTCGTGCAAATGGAATTCGTTAAAAAGAAAAAAAAAGCAACTAAAATAGACAAATTTGTTGTTTCACTACATTCTTCTGGTAAGTTTTCTGACAAACCTCACCTAACAAATGAATGTAATTCAACACAATTACTCACATCAGTCAAATACAGAGCATAGAAAAAATTAAGAAAGCCACTGAATCCTACAACAGAAAAAATAAAAGAAGGAATGCAATTCAATAAAAGTAAAGCAATTTGTCACACTTACAACAGTCATGAAAATGACTCCAAAAAAGCCTTCCATCCCAACAACCTATACCAAAACAGCAACAAGATTCCAATTATTCTTTCAGTAGATGACAGTGCTACAGACATGTAGCCTGTCTATACAAAACATCCTTCCATTCATTACTTTGACTGAACATTTCCTAGCTACAGGCAAAATCTACCAAGCAACAATCTCACATTTTCTGTAAACTATTTGGAACTGACCTGCAAAGGATGGAAGTTCTTTTTCTTTAGAAATAATTCTTCTACTATCATCTGTGTAGCACTGACACTTTGACCAGCCAAGATCAAAACAATTCCTGTTCAAAACAAAAATTAAAAAGGGTAAAACAAGAAAAAAAAAATAACAATAATAAAATAGTTCAACTTAATAGGTAACAATATCTATAGCCAATAGCTGGTCAAATCGACCACCTTGAAGTGGAGATATGAATTCCATGGAGAGCCCCACTGGGCCAGTGTGCACAACTGATCACTGAACTTAATTAGGATCCTTGATATTTAACAATTAAACAAATGAAATGCTAGACTGTGAGAGCAAAGAGCCATGCCCATTGTGATGTGTTTTTGAGCAAGAAAGTTAACTCTCATAGAGCTTCTCTTATAACAGCAAACTGTCATGAAATCCTCAACACTACTAGTAGCTTCTTGCTAAAAAAGCCAGGATAACCTTTGGCTGAATAGGCCACTTAGAACAAGTCAAAACTTAATCTTTTTTTCAAGACTGTCATTTTAACATTTACTTTCTGGTCCAATGCAATGAATGTAACTGTGGTCAAATTGTGCAATGCTTGACAGAGTGTAATTCATTACCAAAGACAACTTGTCCCTGGGACGCTCCTTGGTGGTTGTCCCTGAGAACACTTGATAATCCAACAAGAACTAAACCAAGCTGCCAATTATATATAAATACCAAGACAAGGATGTCACCAACAACTTGTACAAAGATTCCATATTGAACCATCTACTGTATAGGCTTGTAACTTAGGGCTGAAAGACATCTATACTCCTTATTCTAAACCAACTTTTGTCAGTAGGCTGACAGTGTGTAACAATACACATCAAGGGGTAACATTCACAAAGGAGAGGCACTCTCGACAAAGGCATATGGGTTGATACTAATTGATCTCCAGTGGAGCTAAATCTTTGCTGTTTTCTTTTAAGTAATATTTTAGGAAATCTAGTGAACATGCTTGCCAAAATGCATGAATTTAAACACCTTTTATTAGTTCTCTTTCAATCATTTGATTATAAACCATCCAGGTATATCTCTCACCATGGTAACAACCATTCCAATCCAGTGAATTGGCCACAACTTTCTCTTGAGGAAGATTTTCTGCAAAAAAAAAAAAAAAAGAAGGTAATGTTTGCATGAGGGATGAAGCAGCTAAATGGTTAGCATTCTGGCCTTTCTTAAGCAAGATGATGTACTCTCACAGTGCCTTCCTATTAAATCCAACCAAGTGTATAAATGGGTGCTAAAGAACTGTCAAGCCATTGTGTTGTGTTCTTCCAATAGCCCATTTCCGAATTGCCTTTAGCCTCTTTTTCAAAGTGAGTCCTGGTGCTCATCCTTTCGTATGGTAATAAGTTTTCATTCACATGCAGTTATTAAACTCAGTTTCATACGTATGGTTGAGCACGAGGCCTCATTTTAAAAAAGAGGCTAAACATAATTAGGGAATAGCCCAATATTGGACACGGTGATGTACTCTCACAGAGTCTTCATGGTGCACCAAGGAGTTGATATGAATACCAAGAAATGTCAGGGAATCCTTACAATAGGTGCTTGAATGGAGGAGGGGGGGGATTAATCTAATGTGCACTAGCATTTTATCCAGGGAAGGAAGCACAATCCACTTCTTTCCCTATTATCAGCCACCAAATCTCTCCACATGTTTACTTTTTTATGATCCTTGTCTTGGCTGAAGCTCTGGATACACGAAAGGGTTACAAGACATAAAAAGGAAACTGAACAATACTCACAGATAGCACACCAGTAAATATGATTATTGAACCTCTGAGCATTTGCCATACTGATGCATTGACATAAAGAAGACCAATTCCTAATTAGAAAGAAAAATCATATAATTTTGACACTTCCATTTATCACTAAAATACAAAAATAGCCAATTTAACTTGATGTGTTCTTCCATTTCTCATTCTGCTCTAAAACTCACCTCCCAAAGTGGTTCCAAACAAATCACAAACGGTAGGAAAGGCAAAGATCCACTGGAACACTCTGCAAGTAAAGCAAGGTACGTAAATTACACAATGGTAGTTTTAAGAAATCAACACTGAGATGGTTTACATGGGTGTAAAACATTTGTTTTGCAGAAACAAAATTCATCTGTCATCAACAAAATAAAATTACCTTTTCAAATGCTAAAAGAAATAATGTAAAGGATGAAGCAAGAATTTTACAGTAACCAATTATTCAGCAGTTGGTTTATCAGAATCAAGTATTTTTTCATTGACAGCAAAACCCAATGACAGAAGGAGGAAGGAGCAAAAACAACTCAACGATCATTGTTTCCTACCTTGGTTGTTGAGCTATTTCTATTGAAGATCCATCCCTAATTTCATCTCTATTGACATTCAATAAATTCTGATTGCATGAAAAAAGGGTTGAAAAGAAAAAAATGAATGATATTAAATTCAAATTACAAAGAGAAATTAACTCAAAACTAGCTGCACCTCCTTTATATCATTAACGATTTCACCATTATGATAATTCAGTGACATTTTTCTGAAACACTTTTTAAATGCTGGTGTGACTGTGCCTCATTCACCTTGTAGATAGACTGTGATTATGAACTTGATAGATGGCTTACAAATTAAATAACTTAGGGTGAAACTTGCTAATTGAATGAAAGAATCTCAGGAGCCCTGTTTTTTTGTGTGTATGTGTGTGTGTATGTGTGTATGTGTGTATGTGTGTGTGTGTATGAACCAGTCAGCCAGCTGCCAGCCAGCCAGTCCGTCTCTCCAACTATCAGTATGACCACCAGTCCATCAGTCAGTGAGTCACTCCAACTATAAATTATATGTCTGTCAGTGAGTCACTCCAACTATATATGTCTGTCAGTGAGTCACTCCAACTATATATGTCTGTCAGTCAGTCAGTCAGTCAGTCCAACTATCAGTATGTCCATAAGTCACTCACTCAGTCAGTCAGTCAGTCAATAAGTTAGTCAGTTGGTCAGTAACAGTTAATCAATTGCATGTAATTAGTCAGTGAGTGGTCAGTCCAACTTTTTCACATACCTGAGGTATACAGTAATCAACTAAGTGATTATGTTCAAAAAAAAAAGTTAAAAGTTGGATGGGTTAAATAGAGAAAAAAATATTTTGTATGAGACAATTAACAGGTAACCAGCTCAATTTACACAAACCTGTTTGAATTTCTGTCTTTCTCTTCTTCTATGAATGCAGAGACCAATCAAACACATGGTCTCCCCTGACAATTAAAAAAAATGTCTTGAGAACATAAATGAAGGCATTAATGGAAACAAAAATAATAAAAAAACAATGCAAAAATCTTTGAGACAACAAAATTAAGTTCCTCTTCTTTACTGGAGTATGGCCTTACCAATAAACATTAGACCTGTTTGAAACCATGGATGGTCAAATTTGTGAACTTCATTGCCATGCTCATCTTTCAATCCCTTAGCTCTAGAAATATCATATCAAATGAAATTGAGAATGTGACATCAATGAGATGGTGTTAAGAATACTCTTTTTTAAAAACTTTTTGGTTCTTTTTTTAGAGTGTGTCTATCAGGGGATGGGACATGAAACAATTTTGATATAGGGGTTGACCGCAGCACCTTAATCCGTGATAAGCATGTAGTTTCTCGTTACAGCAACGCTGCTGAATCAAGCTTTACTGTCGTGGGGATAACTGATTGAAGAAACCAGTTTAATTGATAAACAAATTCTCCTTGTCCGTGCTATAGGAAATGTTTAGATAACAGCGAGGAGAAAAAATTCTGTATTTTGACGTTTGGTTATGCAAGTGGGTTTGAAACCTCTATCCTGACGATACAATCTTCACGTGATCATGAGTCCAACCTTTAAACCACTCAAACCCTATAGTTCGTGATCTTTCAGCATTATGACAGAACAAAATAGTCGGATTTGGTTAGGCTTATGTTAAAGAACTGGACGAGTGTAAAAAGGTTTCCTTATGCTTAGCCACTCGATTTCTGCGTGCGTCCTATGGAAAAAAAAAATCCTGACAAAATATTTGCATAAATTCTCAGTTTGTATTTTCAGAGCGTCCTAAAGATCAACCTAGTCGATACTTACGAGCAGTCATTTTGTGCTTTCTTTGACAGGGTGTTTATCGATCCTGAGATGAGCATTCCGATAGCCAACAGAATTTGGGTGCAAGTCAAGGTCGCCATTTTGATTTTCTCTCCCTCGATGCGAAATTAGGGGAGGGGTAGGGGAGGGTCTTTCGTTCCAAAAGTTTAAGAAAACTTATCAGAAATTACACCAGTGGAGATCGTATTTTCTACTAAGTTTTTTCAAAACCAGATACTCCGATTCGTCAACGACGTTTATTAGACTCCCGAGTAACGTTATTTTTGCCTCGTTTACTCGTTTGACCAATAGTTGGCAAAGCTATTCGCACAAGTTTTTTTTCTGCTCAGAATATTCTGGGCGTCCACCATTTTTTGGAAGGTGTATTAACGGTTGCTATATGGCAGATTTTTGAGAATTTCTCACTACTGAAGATCACAAGTCCTGAATGTCTCTACCAAAATATTCAGTCCGTTTTTCGCAAATAGCGATTTCAGGGTTCTGTCAAAATGATCATGAAGGTACATTTTCTCTCTGAATGATTATTTTTGCAAATAATTCATCTGTCAGAAACTAGAAAAGAATGCAAGGTATCCCAACAATAGGTCAATTACTTTATTAAGAGCCTTGCAGTTAGAAAAAAAAAATGTTATCTCCTCTATATAAAGGCATTTCTGTTAAATAATCATATGATTGCAAGCATGCTGCAAGGAGAAGTGCAACTCTTGGTGGCTATACAGTGCGGTAGTCACGAAACTGAAATGACCCTTCTAATGCTAATGAGCTTACGAAACACAGGCCAGGCGGTTTCCAGGCGACGAAGAATTGAGAGAAGAATGGCTGCTCAGCAGGTACTATAAATAAAATTCTAAATAAATTCCCCTCCTTTCACGGGAGCCCGGTTAGCTCAGTCGGTAGAGCATCAGACTTTTAATCTGAGGGTCAGGGGTTCAAGTCCCCTATCGGGCGACGGAGTTTCATTTTCTTTCGGCACCGATTGATATTGTTTTTTTTTGTTTCACTTTCCCTTTTGCCTCTTAATCTATACTTTTATGTCATAATTTTGCAAAGATACGACTTTTTGTACTCCCCTGCCTACAAAAATCACTTCAAAATTGCCTTGTATGTAAAATCACTTTTGAGGACCTGGCAGAAAAAAAACAACTTTACATTTTGGTTCTAAACGTTATTCTTATTGTTGTTGGATTTTCTTTACTAGTGACTCATTATAATTATTATTATTTTTTTCTTACTAGAGCATGTCAGTTTAAGTAATCGTGCAAGAATAAATTGTGTGAAACAGGAAATAAAACTCGAAAGACAGCTGAAATTGTAACTGGTTTTATTAAAATGGGCGCAGATGATTGGCTATTCCAATAAGCCTCGACCAATAAGAAACGTGAATAACAATAATTCTGTATATGAGCAGCTTTTCCGCCATCTTGGCATTTCCATTTTCTTGAAAAGAACAACATGGCATCAAGTCCCGCAAGAGATAACGAGGATGATGACTATATGAGAAAACTAGAAACCATAAGAGATATAAGGTAACTAATTATCTTTTTTTTTTAAGTTGATGTCTGCAATTCTCTCTCTTGATCTGTACTTCTCTGTGAAAATTAGAAAGGGTTTATATTTCCTCGCGTTGCATTCATCAAATGACTATTCAATTTTGAAGCATCGATAGTTTCGTTTTGTTAAATGTGTTAAACGCCTTAAATTGTACATGCATGAATTTTAAATATCCCAGGATTGATCGTCATCATTTGCTTTGAAATGAATTATTATATTTTTGAAGAAATCGAGTGCACGCAACAGCGAGAATTTTCTTTAAAAATTAATTTGTGCGACATCGAAAAAGAATTATTGCATTTTGACGCTATTGTTCGATTGAAACGTTTCAGCTGTGGGTCATAAATGTAGTTATTCAATTATTCTGAAAAGGGAAATTTATCTTCCATCTCGAAATCCTACTTAACATTTTTCCAGAACTGTCAGACAGCCTTTTTTTCAAATAAAAAAGAGCCACTGGTCTCTTACAAGGCAACGAGTACAATGTGCATAAATCCTCCGTTCCTTCTTTTGTGCATTAAAGACAAAGAAATAGAATCGCGTTGTTTTTCTTAATGAACGTATTTCTTTGTTCCTGAAAAACACATATTCCCCTGTTCCTGCTTGATTGCAGCCTATTGATGGCCATTAGGGGGATTGGTACTTTTTTTTTTTCTTATTTCAAATGGATCACAAGCTTGACTTAATGGTACATTTGACATTTCTTTTATTCTGGGAAGGTAAGGGCAACTCTTTTAGCGTTTCACTTTTCATCTGATTAGTGGTCATATTGGATTTGAAAAATAGCCAAAACTTATTATCATGATTTCAGAGTACTACCTATCAGATTTTCCAATGTTTATACAATGGTTTATATGAATAACAGGTAAAACCATTTAGCTTCCCATTCGATCATATCTTTTTTTCCAAATGTATTAAGTTAACTGTATGGTAAGCTTAAGTTTTCCACTCAACAGCACTCATGCATGGTTGACGTCTGTGAAAAATTTTAGTGGTCAAAATCACACCCTCATGCTTTATCACCATTTTGATTCTTTTTGATGACAGTTACAGCATTCAATGAATGACCAATATTTCATTTTGTTCCAAGGAAATTTCCAGAATGAGTCAGTTTATGAATTTGCAGCCTTGCCCAGCAATCTGTGCCCTTGAAAACTCTGTGAATGAAAATAAAAGCAGACACATTCAGTCTATTGGATCATTTTTTGATGACTATGAACTCATAAATTGAATACCATTCATGCACAGATGTACAATGAGACAATGTATCACTGAAGGCCAATTGGTTATAGTAAGTGACCTATATCCAATAGGCTACCCATCTCCAGGGTTATCATTTGAAGCCTCTAGGCCGTTAGACCATTTTCTGCAGGCTATTTGATGAATTGTGACCAAAGGCCAAAAATAAATCTTTTGGAACTGATTTTAGCATTAATGTCGCTTAAATAAAGTTTGCCAAAATATATGTCCCAAAATGCTAAGATTAATGTCTCAGAGAGTTTAAATTTTAAAATTTTTCCAGGTAACCTCCTACCTCCCCTAGAATGTTAAAGTGTGCTGTAAGAGTAACAACTGTGAATGCAATGCTAAATTAAATTAGCACCCTGTTAGTGCTGGGTTTAAAGCTTATTACTTGCACTTGTCTGTTAACAATTTTTGACAACACCAGAAGGTTCCATCATGCCCATACAGTGACTTACAGGTAAATACATGTAGATGTATGTAAACCTCTTCTTATACATTATCTTCCACTAGCTGCCACAATAAAATCCACTCTGACTAATAGATTATTACAGAAAAGTACAAGAAAATTATTACAGAAGTACAAGAAAAACTGTTATATCTTATCTCAACATTACAGGGTGAAGACATCCCAGTTGGAGAAACTAAAATCTCAGCTCATCCATGAGTTAGATGTAGCTGAGAAGGAAAGTAAGCTGCTCAAAGACTATAAGGGAGAAATGGAAGCTCTCCTACATGAGAAAATGGCCCATGTAGAGGAACTTCGACTTATCCATGCTGACATCAATTTGGTAAGTTTAAAGATCTATGTGGGTAACATACCATAGATTTCCATCCTCCATATTGCATGCTGACAAGTGCTCATTGGTAATGCAAACCAGCCTCCTTAAAAACCGGTGAGACTGCACACTCTACTTTGCCCATCCAAAAGAAAAAACTCAAGCGAGTGTGTACCCTCTTACTTGCTCTTGCTAAAACACAGTCTTGTCCCTGGTTTAGTAGCGCACATGCTATACAAGCTAACTTCCTTTTCATGAAGAGAAGACAAGTATCCAGTCACTTTCCTTTTCCTCTTTTTTCAGTTCGTAGTACTAGACTGTTTCTCCTCTATTGTTTTTTAGCGATTTTAAAATGTGCCATTACAATGGTCATTTTTGTACAAGCTTGCCATGCTCAGTTTGTACCCATACCTCAGGCCAATATTCGTTACTTATGGCCCCTCATGCCCAGCTTGGCAAACCTAATTTTTTAAATTTTTTTTCATTTAATTTGATATGTATCTGATATAACTGTTTCGTTGTTTATTGTCTAAAAATGAAGCTTCCCTTCCCCCTTCATAGGTTCTGTGAGGCTAGGATAATAATAATAAGCGGCACTCCCGCAACACTAGATACTCAAGCATTAATGCTGTTTGTCCTAAATACAAAAGAGAATCAAAGGGAGGACGCTCTTTCGCTGTTTCGGTTACAAGACTGTGGAATAGTATACCTATTGAAATTAGGAAACTAGATTCTATAGCATGTTTTAAAAAGAACATGTTTGCCAAGATTTTTAAGGAACAACAATGTTTGCATCATTTTACTATTTAATAATATCTTCTTAATTGAATCTTGTCTTATTTTAAATGCTTATTTTAAATGTTTACATATTTTAGCTTACATATTTATCTGATTATATAGTTGTGTAATCTGTGAGGGCCACAAGTTTAT